GTATAGATTCTCTGTCAGCACACTTTAAAATAATCGCATTTCTTGGGTGCATTTTAACAAACTCACGCTGTAACAGAGTTGCGTTTTTAATAAACTGGAGATACTGGAAGTTGGCTTCACGCTTTTCCCATTCAAATAGACCTGTCCTGAGACAGTGATTACTGAAATGAATTGAAAAGTGATAGGTGCAAGTTTGGTCTGACCCTGTGATCGACAACAAGATAATATGTGCTCACTCTATACACGTTGTAGTAAACTAAGTTAACTGATCAGATTTTATCCTAATTCGCACACACGCACACCATTATCTGAGGAGTCGATTGAATTGAAAAATATCACAAAAATATGAACACTTGGTGATCAAGCTGCGATCGGTTACATATATAAGCAAGCATTTGTCTGTGTAAATTTTAGACCATTAACGTAGACGATAATTTGTTTATTCGGCCATAAATCAAACATGGGTAGAAGGACGTCAAATTTACAACTATTTAAAAATGTATTAAATAAACTTAGTGCAAATCATGCAAATGATATTACAATGCATCTTACTTCTCATCACGGTCGTCGAACCTTGGAGAATAAAGCAAACAGAAAAGAGTATTATAGAATCATTTCACCGAACGATTTGGTTGCCGTTCGCCGGTGGTGTTATCCTCCCAAGTAGTAAGCCAATCCATTATGACAGAGTACTGAATAGCATAAAATCATGTGTTTTCAAAAGCTATTCTCTCGTGTTAGTATGTCATAATTTTGTACAAAAATACGAACTAACCATCAACCAGACGGTAGAGCAGATAGATCACTTTTAAAACATGATGCGAATCGATTTAATTAGCGGGATATTCAAGGAAAAGAAAAAACACATAAAGAATATCCCGGATGGAATGATGAAGTAACGAGGAGAACAAGTTTCCCATTAGGGCTCTAATCGATTTCGGTTATTTTTATTCCAAAATCATTATTGCCTGAATGGCTCTTTCACTTGTGACCAAAAATGATGAGGGCTCTTTGAAAGTAAAATTATTCAAAACCTGAAGGGTGCGGGAGAAATTCTATGATTTTCGCGAAGTATCTTTTAGCAAACTACATTCATCTGGTAAATCATCTATTCCAGGTCAGGACGTTTCCCGCCGAGCGATGTAAAGTACAGTTCAGTGCTAAAATGGACCCGGTTAGTGAACAAATATTTTGCAGTACAAAAAAGAGGAAAGGTAGATCTTCGGTCACTTTCCCGTTGGTAAAGTGGGTAGTAAGCCTGAATTGTTGTTCATAAGACCATCATCATACCTAGCCCAATCTTCGTTTTGGTGAATAGATAGTCTGTCTTACTGGGATCAAAATGAATCAAAAACCGGTGCTCATGGATTACGAGCTTTGCAGCTCATACCTTCTTTGTTCGACAGATATCAATTAACCTGGTGCAACATGACCCGAGTTTCAGAACTATATTTGAATTTCCCGTATCACTCTTCTACATCAAATGCTCTGGCTGAAGAGTAATTATTCCAAGCTTTATCTCCACTGCAATGTTTATAGTTCTCTCGTATCGTCGTTAGAAGTTATGCGACCTTCATTGTTGCGACACAATTTGTATTATTGCGAAAAAGTATCAGTTAACTTGGTGGACTCCATGCCAAATCAGTGGCCAAGTATATCATTGACAAGATAAAGTCCAACACCTGTATCACACGCAATAATTATTTTTAGACATACAGTCTTATGGTTTCCTTCCGGCGTTTTGGTATTTTACAACCGAGACAATAACACACGCCGTCCAACTGACAAAACCGTACATCTGAATGACATTCAACTGATGGAATCAAAAACCTCTACTACTGTTGGTACATCTACGTCGAATAGGGCGAATTCATACACAATGCCGTAAAGAAGATTTGGAACGCTAAACGTTGGTTTTAATCAATCTGACGAAGATCAGGGTTAGGCAGGAGTTTGATCAATACATTTAATTACAACGCTGTCCATCCGATTGCTCATACGTTATTCCTAAAGATGAGCTAGACATTTTTGGAAACCATAAAGAATGATAGAAAATGTGATTCCTAATTTAAGGTTGGTAAAATTATGGTTCCGAAATCATCGGTTTTCCCAAAATACTTAAAAAATGTTTTCAAAATGTGACATCACGTTTTTCTATATTGTATTCAGCGTTAATTTGTTCACAACATTTTGCTGTAATGTCATCTAAGAAAGAGAGGGAAATGATGTCAATCAGATCTACTGGAGGACTGAACTCGACACACTAAGTACACGCCTAGTCCAGTATGTTTTTCTCAAATAAAACGTCAGTTATCCACAAGGTCAATATTACGTCATTGTAAAAATTGGCGTTTCACGCGAGGAGTGTAGAATGGAAAAATGTCAATTTTGTATCACAAACTGATGGTTCATGAACGCAATGCACAACAATCAGTTCTATACAATTTACAGAGATGCGACGTTATAAAACAGCGTTTAAGCGAACCGAAATGATTCATACAAGAGTTGATTGAGTAAATAAAGAGAACGAATATTATAAGAAATGCAATACTAACTGTATTCATTGCATGAATTGAAATAGTTGCTTACTTGTATATGATCCAGTTCCGCCTGTAATAATAATAATCTCGGAAGTAAAACAGTTAAAGCACTGAATGGTCAGCTGAGTGAACAAGTTATACAATTAACTTTTCGCAGTAAATCACGGTCGAATGAAAACGTCATTCGCAGTAACGAGAGATTTGCCAACGTTACATAGTACTCTCACTAGTCAACGCATAGACTTTGCGTGATTTATTTGCATCATTATACTCATCTGCCTCTGCGCAAAGTGACCGCGTTCAAACTGCCTGATAATTAGTCATAGTTGATATTTTCCGTTTTATATTGTGACATTGTTTGCGAGAATCAATTGCTGTTTGACAGCTGTGTGGAAATGTGGCCCAACGGGTTATTATAGAAGCTTGGATTCGGTGGAACAAATAGGATAACAATTTGCCACATCTTATTGGATAAACAAAATGGGACAAACTCTCCACTTGGGTAGCAAAATGTCATTTGTTCACGAGACTGCTTACTGGGAAAAAAGCTTGATCCACCTGAAACCAAAATAGTTCCGGAAATAAGGATGTGGCAAACATGTGTTCAAACGGTGTCAATAATGAATACAATAAGAGCAAGAAGAAGCATTACAGGATCACAGGATGTGTTGAATTCAACTACTTCGTTTTCATTTCATCAGGTGTGTACATACATTTAGATCATTTTTGGCATGAAGCACCGTCGAATGAACTGGAACAAAGTGACACCGCCTCAAAAAAGGCTGCTTTTGTCACCATATCGTTTTCAAGGTCATCAAAATGATAGACGGATACAGGTTGAAACAAGCCACCGAAAGAACGTATCATGCTGCCTCCCTCGTAATACTGCAAGGCACGAAGCGAATGCTCATTGAATCCAATCTAGACAAACCCGACTTGTCAGTTACCTCCTCCTATATTTACCTCTTTCAATGTACTCGCTGTAGCAAGTAACTCGAAAGAACTGAAAGATGATTGTTCACTAAGGATAGCACAGCATACACCAAACATTTGGCGTCTAACGGGTGCAAGCTTCCGTCCAGTTTAATCATCCAACATATACTGGATTGCAAAGAATGTGACAAACCTCGGGACAACTTTCGTGTCTTGACCCGCCAGAAAAGTAGCCGTCTCCTACGGTTCGCTGAAGCGGCTGCCATTCGACGTTACCAACCCGAATTATGTAAACAGACCGAATTCGTGGCCAGCTTCGCGCTGCCCTGGTAGGTGTCACTGTCCTCCTTCCTCTCTCCTTCCCCTACCTTGCAGTGATTCCGCTCCCTGACCCTATGCCCAATCCGGCTCACATTAGTGACCTTTGGCCTTCGTATTGATTGATTTCTCTTCCCCTTGTGTATTCGCCTGTCCCTAAACCTGTCGCTCTTTTAAATAAACGTGATCCAAATTTATGAACACAGTTGATGAGATTCCCACGAACTATAGTTGAATTCAATACGTCCCGTGATTATCACGCTCTCATGAAAATACAATGAGACCAGATCGGGAAAGTTTTTGGATTTTGGCCCAAAATGGTCAACCACGAGATGTGACTGGATTTCCGAATTCGTAATAATCGATCAACCGAGCGGGGCTAATTTAATCAATTGGTTTAATGAATCAAACAGATGAAACATGTGCACGTGGAAAGTATGCATAAACGCACTGTTCTAGAATGCTTATTGTCAAAACCCGATTACTATAGACAAGCAAATAGAGATTGTTAGATTCTATAACTTATTCCAAATATAAACGTGTCTAAAAGAATTGCCGTGCAAACCGCATCATCACCACTTCAATTTGCTGCTAGAGATTTGTTCTACAATTTGGTTCAATAAAACACTAATCCTAAATGAGATAAATACGTAATGATTTTCCATCCACCCAAGAATTAGAAAGCTGAGTAAAGTATCCTCATAGATGCATAAGAACGAAATAAAACAGGAAGACATTTCTTTTCGATGTATTGCTTCAGGTATCTACATATTCAGTTCGATTAGTCAGTAGATTAATACAAGGCCTAGGCTGATGTTTAGTGAGTGGCTGTATGCAAAATGTTTAGCTGACAACAAGCTATGGGTTCACGATAATTGGATAGAGAAAAGCCGATGCAAATGTGTGAAAGGGACACCATTTGAAAGGTGTTAGTCAAGAATGAATAAAACCGGTGGGGAAAAAGACAGTCAATGAGAAGTAGAGGAGAGAGAGAAAATGTCATATAGAGATATGGGCAGTGGTTCTTAAGACCATGGAAACAGCAGCGCTTGAACCAAATTACGTTACTTGCACAGCTCCGGCTTCATGGTGCTAATTAGAAAGCTCCATGCAACGGCAAGATAACAGTGAGAGGAAAATATCCGTTCAAAAATCAGGGGAAATTTTTATTTAAAGTCACGAGGAACTCCTGGACCGAGTTCAGGCAAAATGCGCTTAACAGCACTTCGGGCGATAGGTTGTTTTTACTAGGTGCATTGTGGATGCTTTTTCGATCTGGATTCGCCACTGACCCACCAACTCCTCATATGGCTATCTGTTCCCTCCGCTACGCTCATGGAAACGATTAGTGGATTGCTTTTCTGCCGTCTTTCGTATCACTCAACCTATATATATATATATATATATTTACCACCGGCTTGAAAANAAGCATGGTGCCAACGCAACAACAATGACAGCAACACATTGCATTACCCACAATTAATGTCCAATAGCTATCTGCTCATCTCACTTGTGCTTTCGGTGCGATGACGGAAACCAGATGATGCACACTATACTATTATACGCGTTGTGCCAAGGCTTGAACTTGTGGCCTTTTGTTCATTAGAGGAATGTCACAATCCAGCATTTATAATTCCTTAGTTTGGAAAGTTATGGAAAGCGAAAAGTTTTTTGATTATTCAAGCATCCGAATTAGTGAACACATAAGTTAACGATATAAAAAACGTTCATTCCCTTCGATACATTTTTATTCCTTTCTGTGAACAAATATGGGGTGTGAAAAATGTTTGCAACCCATAACATCCCCGGACAAAATCAAAGGGAGCGCAAAATCGAAGGAGCACAGCAGAATTGTTCACTCAGCCTTGAAAACTGAAGTATGCGTGTGTCATTTTCACGGGTTAAAACTCCACTAGAACTTAGAAGTTGTGACTTGTGAACCAGTATGTCCAACGAGGAGATGATTACCGAATCCCTGCGCTCCACGGAACCCTTGTATTTGTTTCAAAGAAATTTACGGATTCCGTATTACAAAGGTCCATTATAAAGCACGTGTTGAGCACAGTGGAAATTCACTAATATAGATTCTTCTCTCGACTACGAATTATGATGAGTTTATACCGGAGTATCGATAGTAGATGATGATGATGATGATGATGATGATGATGATGATGATGATGATGATGATGATGAATCTGATGATGATGATGATGATGATGATGATGATGATGATGATGATGATGATGATGATGATCATGATGATGATGATGATGATGATGATGATGATGATGATGATGATGATGATGATGATGAGGCTGATGATGATGATGATGATGATGATGATGATGATGATGATGATGATGATGATGATGATAAGGGTTTGGACGATAATGACATCATAGCCGTCCGTGCGGTGAAAATTATGTCGTTAATGTATTGTCAAAGTTTAACAGCTTATATTCAGTTGCATATTGCGTGCTGGAGATTGAGTCTATTCTTTGCGTGTGTGAGACTGAGAAATCAACGCCAGTATCAACAAATTTTATATGCTTGGATCTGTACCCCTGCTACCCGATGGGGCCGGGTTCGTCGATCGTTTCAGTCTGCCGTTTGCCGAACGGATTCCAAAAGCATTTTACTACCTGGTTAATAAAGGACTAGCAAAAATCGCCCGTAACCCAAATTTAGAGCATCTAATCACTGGGACCACTTCGGTTGGTGTTGAGAAGTCATTAAGGGTCGGCTTCAAAATCCCAGAGAATCCATCTAACCAAGGTGAATTGATTATTCGAATTTCATCGTGTACAAATCACATGTCTAGTGTAACGATGTTTTTATCGTGGGGCTTCGGAGTAGTCACTTCAACAAAGGCAGGGTTAGCGCAGCAAATGAATTGTTGATGCTATCACGCCAGCCTTGATCACGTTGATAAAATAGTCCGGAAACCATTTGGAGAGTCAAATTTCAATTAAATCAAATCACCAACGGAATTCAAAGGCTGAGGAATAATTGAAAAAATACGCTGCTCTTTCAATTGGGATTCGTTATGCAAGTTCTCGGGAGATTTCACAATTTGTTAACACTTGCCCTATCATCATCTTTTTGTTCACCAGTGGGAATAAAAGTAGACGGAAGCAGATGAATAGGCCTTCATATCATACACTGACCTGAAAAACTCGGAAATAAGACTGAATCTCCTGTGAAAGGGGATTAATTGCCTGAGTGAGAATATTCTTGTTCACCCAAAGTCTTCCATTGGAACCATTATTCGATTTCAAACCATGCAAATCATTTTAGTTCAGCTATTAAGGTAATGCAGTTTCGCAGCAATAGTATACTTTTATTTATTTATTTGCACCAATAATGGTTTACACACAAATGGAAGTGAATTCAAAATAAATTGTCCCATTGTGATCAGTGCCTGCGCTGAGATTTGACCTCACTGGACAACGTGGCCTATCCTGCTGACTCGATGCCTTGCGTGTCGTACTTAAAGACGTCGTATCCTCAGCAACTTGTTTAGTTAATCTTTTTAGGGTCCTCTTCAAACTCACACTGTAACGTAACTTACAAGAGGATGTGTATACCAAGTTTTGTTACGGAGAGTAGTAATACTGCAGTGGCTGAATCTGGAGGACACCGGGTACTCCGCTAGACTAAGATCATCATCTGCCTGCCGTCCTTCTACAATCAAATCAGGGAATGAGCTCAACTACTCCTTGTACACCTGAATCGCATCTGAATAAATTGAATAGAGCAAACGAATATTGCGATTTCATCTGTGTGAATTTATGCGGTCCATAGTTTGTATTTTTATTGGCGGGAGTTTACCAACATTTGGAATTATAAGTCACCCTGCAGCGGTTCTTCAACCGACAGTTTCTCAACGGCAGTTTTCTATTCTTGCTTCGTGCTTCTTGTTTCCTAATAGATCCATTCAAGCTGGACGTGATCATCGAATCACGGATCAGAAGCACCTCCATCCTACTCTGGTGTGACTAGCAGCAGGACAATCCTGTGTAATTGAGGACTAGCATGACATGTTTACATTACCATGGCATTCTTACCAGAACCAACAACCTTAGGATATCAGTTAGCGATTCAGCCCCATTGACCAGGTGGATTTCATATAAACGATAGGTCACAGTGACGCTTTTCCTCCAAACGTGATGACCGTTCTCGGCCGGGAACACAATCAAGTGTGCCGTCGAGATTTACCATTTATCACCATTATTTGGCAATAGTGATTTTCCAGAGAAGGTCTGTTCATTGGATACAACAACTTGGACATTTCCACGATTAAGTTTTGCTTTAACTATTATCGTGCTCCGAATGAGATCGAAAAGACCGCTCTGGTACAACTCCCTAAGGTGAGCTGTCTATCGTTCGCTTCCTTTCTAATGATCAGATCTGCTTTCAGATTTCCTCTATCATTGCTAGAAAAAATCACTTCCAACGTTTCGGAAGTTTCAGAATATAACGTTTCTATAATTCCAATTCTTGGTTCTGTTTCCTCCGGGACGGATACCCAGAAAGAACATGAGTAAAAATTAGTAACAGGTTCTGACGAACATCAGCGACCATCTTTGTCACTAAAACCCGTCTACACTATTTGTGCGACTGCAAGCATCCATGAAGACCATCACCGGTGAAGATAGATACATGCCAGTTGTTGATGGCATGGTGAATTCCGCACAGTGTTCAATAATTTACTGATCCAAATTATTTCTCATCATGCTCTTCTCATGATTCGTGTTCCGTCGATGAATCAATGGTGCAAAACTGCAATTCATATTTTTCTAATCTTATTGACAGATCCATCACAAAACCATATAACTTCTGTATGTCACCTGTCTGCTCAAAAGAAAAGGTAAAACATTGGCGATGAGAATAAACAAACTTCTATAGAATAAGCTTACCTGAGTAACTCGGAAAGTAATCTGAATCACCTGTAAGAATTGAGATTATTGGGGTAAAATGCATAGATATATGTATATGTGTATAGAGGAATATATATATCTGTTAGGCATTTCACTGGAATCGTTACTTTTTTATCTCAGACAATGCAATTTATTTTTACTCAGCCAGGACCGAAATGCAACTGAACAGAAACGCCTCTAATTATTAGGTTTATTTGCAGCAAAAATGACTGAAACATAAAACTGAACAACCGCATTTTACTCAGGTTGAAATACTTAGTCATCACACTGAACACGAACACAGTTTATTGAACATATCAGAACGCTTTCAAAGCACTCTGTGTGACGTGGAAGACTGAGTGGTATATGTACAAACTTTTGGCTGATATTTTAGTGATTAATGATTTTAGTTCATACAACTACGTAACCTACAAATGATTATGATTCCGTCAAACGTTTCCCGCCCCAGTTATCGTGTTTTTACTCATCTTGTACCAGTAACTTGTTCAGTTAACTAGCCGATTACGATGTTCACCTAGTTTGTAGCATCGTGTCACCGCACGGTCCAAAGCGGTGACATGTTTATGTATTTTTCCAAAATTTACTGGGAACAGCTAAAACGATAATCCTTTCTAGTTGAGTCATTAGGATGACGATTCCATCGATTTCTCTGTACTTTCTGAACTGTTTTCAATTGCGATACACGAGTGAAGAACGTCAATACAACAAATCGGTTTAAAAAAGTGCATTCGTCTAAGATGTTAAATGTTTGGATTACCCATTCGATTTTTCATTTCCAACACATTCAAATGCATTCAACTAATGGGGCATTAACCATTTCCTAAGGAGTGAAACCCACACCAAACAGTCAACAGTGCCTGGTACTTGAGAAAAAACTGAATAGGCCACTGGAAACATTCACCAACCAAATTGATTGAGCAAGGTAGGAACCGTCGACCGTATCCCAGCCCGAAGTTTCGCGGTTCGACTAGTTTCAAACAGGATGAAACAGGTGTACGGTGCTCTTTGTCTGTTATCACAAACATTTTCATCGACTTTAAATGCATTTTTTTCGTTCTATACCGAGGATCTGTCCCTGTGTTATGTTAGACACTGACAACAGTATCTGATACGAGCAACTCGATGTGTGTTAAATTCGCAACCGAAGAAAGTGTTTCATTCACCCATCCTCATACATCGCTTGACCGAAAACAGAGTTGCATTTATCTTGTCTTTCAGTTGGATGAATGATTATGCTGCCAGCGGACGGTGCAAAACTGTCGAAAGACAATTGGAGAACTTGCGGTTGTAGTCAATCACCGAACACTTGAGTTAACCAAATTGTGATTGTTTTAGACTGGAAGTAGAACAATGATTCTGTGGTTGAACTAATAAATATGATTTTGGCTGAAGCACCACAAACCCTCCTCAGAGGCACCAAGTGGTTCGGGGTGTCCGGATCAGCAAACCGTTTGCTCTCGATTTGTGTGTTCGAGACATGCCACTGTCAACCTAATTATACCCCAATGATTCAAGTGGGTACTATTTGTTCTTCTTGAACCGCGGGATTTCCCGTCTGCACCGGTAACGAGCCCCAGCAAGGAAGCAACATTGCTCAACTGCTCTGTGTTGGTATTCACGAATAGTTTTCTCTCCAGTGTGGGCTATTTCAACCAGAAGAACAATACACAGAACCTGTCTCTGTGAATTCGCCTGGAACTAAAACAAGGTGTTCACCAGTACCGCCCCCAAAAAACTTACTGTGAATAAATTATCCATTACTCGGTTTATTTTAATTGTTTTGATACAACTGTTTTTCCTTAGGAAAACATTTTAATCATGCTATTATTGGAGAAATATAAGAGCTAAATAATCAGAACCATTTCTGTAGAATTCCTTCTGCTGTTTTTTTTCAAGCTAATCACTACTGTCAATCACTTTTTCTATTGACGTTTATCCGGATTTCAATGGTGTGTTTATGGTAAATGCAAATAAAACATCAGCTTCGAATTCATCATGATCATGGCTTTTCGAATCAGTCAGCCATGGCTCAATTTTGTTATCCTCATTCTCATTCACTGAACTGCTAGATTTCTATTACCTTTGGTATGGAAAGTGATAAGGATTTTTGAAATGTCGTTGCATCACCTAGTGTCAAGGGGAGCACAATTATGCCTGCCATCAGTAAACAAATCGGACTGGATCAACAATGAAAAACAGTTAAGTGCTGAGCTAACCCACCCTTCTTCAAAACTTTCATTTTTATTGGGTAATTCATTCATGAGGAACGTTTGATCATTTTAGGATTCTGTTCAATTGATGATGCATGGTGTTCAAAACACTACCTATATAAAGAGAGGGCAGTGGCTTGTATCCCTCACAATTAATTTTTTTTTACTGTAAACTAATGATCATTGGTCACCTACACCTGGGATCTTTTTTGCGAAATGTAAAAGGTCCCACCGGCACAGATCCAATGAACTGAATACCGGCCCCCAATGGATTTCAGTGTTGGTGCACCGCACCACTGCCTTGCGGGTCAGGCTTTGGCTAGCCGATAGCTGTGGTTG